TCATCATCAGCAGCAGCATCATCAGCATCAGCATCATCATCGTCAGCATCATCATCGTCATCGTCAGCATCAGCAGCATCATCAGCATCATGGTCATCAATAGAACGTCAGCATCCGCATCACCATCATCAACATCATCATCATCATCGGCATCACCATCGTCGTAAGCATCATCAGCATCATCAACCTTACCATCATCATCATCAACAACAGCAGCATCATCATTTGAATCAACAACAGCATCATCGTCGTCAGCATCATCAGCATCACCACCACCATCACCATCACCATCACCATCATCATCATCATCATCGTCATTATCATCAGCATCATCATCGGCATCATCATCGGCATCAGCATCATCATCAGCAGCAGCATCATCATCATTACCAGTATCATTATCATTATCATTACCACTAGCATCATCAGCAGAATCAGCACCATCATCATCAACGACAGCAACAACAACAACAACAGCCACAAGAACATCGTAATATGCATTAGTATCACCAGTATCATCAGCAGCAGCATAATCACCCTCATCCTCCTCCTGCTCAGCGTCAACCGCATCATCATCAGCATCATCAGCATCAACATCAGCAGCATCATCAGCATCATCATCATCGTCAGCATCATCATCATCGTCATCATCATCATCTGCAGCATTATCCGCATCAGCAGCAGAAGCAGAAGCATCATCATCGTCCTCATCAGCATCATCACCAGACTCATCGTCATCGGCATCATCGTCGTCATCAGCACCATCATCAGTATCATCATCAGCAGCATCATCAATACCAGCATCATCATCATGACCCTGTTCTTGATCAGCAACAGCATCATCAGCAGCATTATCATCGTCACCATCAGCAGCAGCAGCATCAGCATCATCAGCACCATCCCCGTCATCGTCCTCATCCTCCTCACCCTCATCATCAATATCATCATCGCCATCATCATCATCATCATCATCATCATCAACAACATCAACAACAGCATCATCATCAGCATCACCATCAACAGCAACAACAATCATTTTAAGACTGTTCGCTCTCACCTGCTCGCGTGCCGATCAACACGTATACCCCCATACCCTTGGGGGCACATCTTCCTTGCCTGCCACTTGCATGAGTGCAGCCCCTAAAACAAGGAAGGAGAGGACGCATGGAAGGGGGAGGGAGAAGGATGGAACACGAGAGAAATTTGCAGGACGGGGGCTAGGAGCAGAATACACGTGGCAAGAGCAGACGGGCAGATCGGGCGGGCAGACCCTAGAGGGCGGGTCAGCAAGGCGGGCCCAGGCGGCCAGGTCTAGCAGGCGGGTTGCTGAGGCGCGAGTACTGCACGAATCGCGAGAAAATCTCGAGCGATAGCGCGATCCCCAGGCAGATCATGAGAACAGCGAAGGCGAGATCGCGATTCCTGAGCGCCGAGGGCGCGGGGCGTCTGAACAAATTGCGAGGGGGTCCCACGAGAGAGCACGAGTTCTGCATAGATTGTGAGAAAGTCCCGCGCGAGAGCGCCATTTCGAAATCCGCCGGCCCCCCTGCGGGGCCACCAGGCTGCGACGGTGAGGATTGCAGCTCCCTGTTCCAGTTGCAGAGTCCAGCTTCCACTGTTACAATCCTGGTTTCTGCTTCCTTACTGCTAATTGTTGCTGAACGCACGAGGGGGAAGCCCCAAACCAATTTTTTAACTACGCCCAGATCGCGTTGTCTGAATTCCTGGGGGGGGCGTGGGACACATTGAAATACTTGATATTCGCGTCCCCGAGGCCATAATCCCTGATAAGTTGCACCATATTCGCGCCCCCGAGGCCATAAACTCTCGGAGACTACTCCATATTCGGTCCCCGAAGCCATAATCCTTTCTGTGAGTAAAAATTGTCGCGTCCCCGAAGCCATACGTAAATTACACAATATTCGCGCCCCCGAGACCATAAACCCAAGCAAATTACGAAATAGTCGCGCCCCCGAAGCCGTAAACCTTCGAAAATTATGCAAAATTCGCGTCCCCAGGGCCATCTCCCTTTGTAAATTAGACTATGCGTGCGTCCCCGACGCGTCGCCGAGGCCATAAAACTTCGTAAATCCGCCGATCCCGCGTGTGCACTACAAGGAGGCTCCGCAAGAGCTTCAGCTCTGAGCCTCAGCAAGAGCTTCAGCTCTGCTTGGGGGGGGTCGCCGGGGTGGCTCTCTGCCGGGGAAGGGGGGTCGGGGGGGGGTCCTCTATCTGGCGTCTTCTTCATGATCTGCGGGAGGAGGAGGAGGACGAGGAGGAGGAGGAGGAGGAGAGGAGAGGAGGAGGAGGAGGAGGAGGAGGAGGAGGAGGAGGAGGAGGAGGAGGAGGAGGAAAAGGAGGAGGAAAAGGAGGGTCGGTGTGCTTCGTGCGCTTGGTGTCCTCATCCCTCCTCCCTCCCCGGGGGGCGCCAGGTCCGTGTGCGGCAGCGTCTGCCCCGTGACGGGGCTCTTGGTGGACGCCCGGAACCAGCGGGAGATGGCGGCCCGCTCGTACGTGTAGCCGTCGGCACTGACCTCGACGGCGACGACGACGGCGACGACGACGACGACGACGACGACGACGACGACGACGGTGACGGTTACCACGACGACGACGACGACGACGACGACGACTACGACGACGGCGAAGGCGGCGGCGGCAACGAGCACGACAACGACCACGACCACGACCGCGACCGCGACCACGAGGACGACCACGACGACCACGACGGCGACCACGACGCCGACGACGACGACGACGACGACGACGACGACGACAACGACGGTGACGGTGACCACGATGACGACGACGACGACGACGACGACGACGACGACGACCACGACGGTGACCACGACGACGGCAGCGGCGGCGGCTGCGACGACGATCACGACCACGACCACGACGCCGACGCCGACGACGACGACGACGACGACGACGACGACGACGGCGACGACCACGACGACGACTTTGACCACGACAACGACGACGACGACGACGACGACGACGACGACGACGACGACGGAGACCACGACGACCGCGACGCCGACGACGACCACGACGGTGACCACGACCACGACGACCAAGACGATGACGGTGACCACGACGACGACGACGACGACGACGACGACGACGACGACGACGACGACGACGACGGTGACCACGCCGACGACGACGACGACCACCACGACGACCACGACGACCACGACGGCGACGACCACGACCACGACAACGAACACGACAACGACCACGACGACCACGACGACGACGGTGACGTCGACAACAACAGTGACGACGACGACGACGACCACAACGACGATGACCACGACGACAACGACCACGACGACGACAACGACGGTGACGGTTAACACGACGACAACGACGACGACGACGACGACGACAAGGGCGACCACGACCACGACGGCGACGACCACGACCACGACCACGACACCGACGACGACTACAAGGACGACGACGACAGTGACCACGACGACGACGACAACGAAGAAGATGGCTGTGATCACGACGACGACGACGACGACGACGACGACGACGACGGCGGCGACGACGGCGACTACAACAACGACAACGACGACGACGACGACGACGACGACGACGACGACGACGACGACGACGACGACGACGACGACGACGACGACGACGGTGACCACGACACCAACGGTGACGACGACGACGACGGCGACCACGACGTCGACGACGACGACGACGACGACAGCGACGGCGGCGACCACAACGACGACGACGACGACAACGACGACGACAACGACGACGACGACGACGACGACGACGACGACGACTACGACGACGACAATCGCGACCACGACGACGATGACGATGACGACGACGACGACGACGACAACGACGACGACGACGAGGACGAGGACGAAGACGACGACGACGACGGCGATAACCACGACGACGACGACGACACCCACGACCACGACCACGACGACGAGGACGACGACGACGGGGACCACGACGACGACGACGACCACGACCGCAGCGACGAGGACGACGACGACGGTGACCACGACGACCACGACGACGACAACCATGACGGTGACAACGACGACGACGACGACCACGACGACGTCGACGACGACGACGGTGACCACGACGACGACGACGACGACGACGACGACGACGACCACGACCTCCACGACGACCACGACGACGACGACGACGATGACGACAACGACCACGACAACGACGACGACGACGACGACGACGACAACCACGACGACGACGACGACTACGACGACTACGACGACGACGACGGTGAACAAAACGACGACGACGACGACGACGACGACGACGACGACAACGACGGTGACCACGACGACGACGACGACGACAACGACGACGACGACGACGACGGTGACCACGGACGACGATTGACGACGACGACGGTGACCACGACGACGACGACGACGACGACGACGACGACGACGACGGACGACGACGGCAGACAACGACACGACGACGACGCGACGACTGACGGTGACCACGACGACGACGACGACGACAACGACGACGACGAACGACGATGACGACGATGACGACGGAACGACGACGGCGAGACGACGACGACGACGACGACGACGACGACGACGACGGTGACCACAGACACGAGAAGACGACGACGAACGACGGACGACCACGACCACGAGACCCCCCCCCCGACCCCGACCCCGACGGAACGGACGACGAAGACCCGACGACCACGACGACGACGACGACGACGACGACGACCACGACGACGACGGTGACCACGGCAACAACGGTGACGACGACAATGGCGACGACGACGACGACGACAGGTGACCACGGCGACGACGACGTCGACAACGACGACGACAACGACGACGACGGCGACGACCACGACCACGACCGCGACGACCAAGACGACGACGGTGACCACGACGATGACGACGACGACGACGACGACGACGACGACGACGACGGTGACCACGACGACGACGACGATCACGACGAGGGGGGGGAAACCCCCGGGGGGGGGGGGGGGGGGGGGGGGGGGGGTCGGGGGAAAAAACCCCGTGACCACGACGACGAACGACGACGACCTCAACGACGACTGACGACGAAGACGGACCACGACGACGAGGACAACCTCGACGGTGACCACGACGACGACGACGACCACGACGGACGGAAGACCACGACCACGACGGACGACGACGACGGCGGACGACGACGACGACGACGACGACGACGACGACGACGACGACGACGACGACGACGACGACGACAACGATGACGACGACGACGACGACGACGACGACGACGACGACGACGACGACGACTACGACCTCGACGACGACGACCTCGACGACGACGACGGCGACGACGACGATGACGACGACGACAACGACCTCGACGGTGACCACCACGACGACGACGACGACGACGACGACGACGACGACGACGACGACGACGACGACGACGACGACGGCGGCGGCGGCGGCGGCGGCGACGACGACGACGGCGACGACGACGACGACGACGACGATTCGAGACTACGACGTCACGACGATCACGGCGACACACGACTAAGACTTCTACGACACCACCATAACGACATCGCCGTTGTCGCCGTTGTCGCCGACGACGACGACGACGACGACGACGACTGACGGCAACGGCAATGGCGACCACGACGACACAACAAGGACGACAATAACACCGAGGCGGGCGAAGGCTTTCGCTGCAGATCCACTCTTCGTGGCCCCGTGCCCCGTTAACGAACCCCAGAGGCCGAACTCGTCGGAACGAACAGATCAATGCGTCGGAGATCTGGGGAGACAGTTTGGAACTTTTGCTTCTAGCGCGTCGCGGCGGCGGCCCGGGCGGCACGCAGTGCCCTGCAAGCGGACGGCGTGTCGCTGCGCTCTGGAGGGTGGCAGGCTCGGACGCAGGATGGTGAACGGACGAGTGTGCTAAGACCCAAGGCTGCGCGAACCCCCTCTGCCAGGCCGGCGAAATGTCGGGTTAGAGCGCGCGCGGAGCAGAGGGCTGCGGCCGCCACACCACCTGGCGAGGGGGGGGGGAATCTGCCACGACACCTCCCAGGAACGCTGGCGGCGCGCACGAGGGAGGGGGGGGGCATACGACGAAGCCAGGCGAGGATGAAATCGGGCAGGGATACACGGAGAATCTCTGAGATCCAGCGGATCTGGAGGATGCAGCGGGCGCCGCGGCCTTCCAAAAGCGCGCCGGAACGCCCTGAGAGCGTTCCGGAACGCTGTGGCACGGATCTACCCTCCCCAGACCCCCGACGTCGTGATTTTTGTTCACAACGTCGTGCCCCAAAGGTCTGGACCCCTGCCACGGAACCCGTTTCTCATCGTGAGTCGTTTCTTGACGGTCCCGGCGCCCGGTATGGGCCCCCAGAGGCCGAAAATGGCGAGAAACCTCCCTTTCGCGACTTTTGCACAACGCGAGGGTGTCTGGTTCCTTCGTCCGAGCGGTGGCGCGGGCGGCTTCCTGGCGGGTCTTCTGGCTTCGGAGCCGGCGCGACGGGAGCCTCCCCGGGGGGCTTCGACCCCGCGCCAGATCGTGCGGCGGCTGCGACCCTCTGCTCGGCAAGGTGTCGAAGAGTCACTGCACCAACCTTGCAGACGTGCTGCAGCGGATATGTGCGTGGATTTCTGTCAATGCAAACCCCGAAAAGGCGAGCGAAAAACAAGAAGAATTTCACGTGTATTTTTTGCGGGCCTTCACTCCTGGCCCAAACAAATCCGCACAAAATTCACTTCGAAATCCTGAACGAAATTCTCAAGGACACTCCGGGCGCATCCTATTTCCCGAACGAAATCCGCTCTGCGATGTTACGCCATGAAAAGAGGGGACCGACCACAGTAGGAGCTCGACCAGAGGAAACCTGCCACAAGAAGCCAAACCCTGGAACCCCGGAATGTCCGTTTGCTCTTCGGTGTGGGGGCGTCACGTTGTTTCCACCGTGAGCTCAAGAGAAATCCAGGGCACCGTGACGGCAAGCAGGGTGTTCTTGGCATGGGCTTCCACTGTGTACAGAATTGATGTACCCCAAGCTTTAAATGTCCGTCGGATCTGCAAAAAGTAAGCAGAGCGCTTGCGAATCTACGAACAGCCCACGTACTTGTGCGCAGGCTCGACGCACTGATCAAGTATGTGGTAAATCCATGCTGTACCGCAGGTTTGCGTCGTGTCGACCCAGGCGATGATTTTTGACACCGCGGGAATCGTTCAACCTTGAACGATCGGCCGTGTCCGAAACGCCACATCGTTGAACATCGATCGATTCTGGGTCGCCGTCGGCGTTCAACGTTGAACTCCGGCGGCGGGGTCGCCGCTGGTCGACACAACACGAACCTACCGTAGTCGATCCCAGGTTCGAAATGTGGCCCCTGGCATCGCAGGCCCGGGAGAGGGACCCGCAGCCCGAGAAGGCACCACACGGGGCCTTCACACCCTCGCGCCTTCGCGCCCTCGGCGGCCAGGCCCCTTCGCGCCGCCC